GTGTTAGTGCTGCTGGTAAGAGCAGACACCACTAACACCTGGGGAGAGGCTCCATCTATTAGTGGGGAGCATCACCTGCTGGAAAACGGGTAGGAACTCGCCAGCTGGATGTATCTTTAGGCAATGTAAGAAGCACGGGCAAGAGCGGCAGGCGCTCGCACAACCACCTGTCTAGACCTAAGACGGGTACTGACCGGCGTGCGACTGAAAGCTGACAAGACGCAGTGAGGAGTTCTAGAGGTCAGTAGAGACTCGATAGCTGGCTAGCGCGCAGGCAAAGTAGGGGTGAGACGTAAGGTCCACCAGGGAAGGAAAGCCAGGAAGATCCCCCAAGGACCGGCAATGACCGGCTGGCAGCCCATCTGGTGGTAGTTATACTCGAACCCTGTGTCACACAGCGCGGAATCTGTCGAAGTGTTGAGAGCAATCCTTCAGAATGGTGGGCACGGCGTCCTGTTTGCGTCGATAAAGAATTCCTGAGGTCTGTGCTGGCTGACCTTAAAATGCTGGTTTCCCACCAGCTGTTAGGAGAGCTGTAGTGACAGAGGCGGGAAGGGAATTAGACTGGCAGACCCTGATTTAGGTTGAGGTTGGAGCAAGTGGCGCAGACTGTTAAGTATTGAGGTGTAAGTCTAAGTGGTGAGGAGGCGGAGTCAACTTACCTGTGCCAATCCGTCATCATGGATGACTACCCGATGTTCTCCTTCTTGGCCATGTCCATGATATGGGGGCCGCTGATTCATTTCCTTTTCCCCCTGGGGTTCGCCCGAACCTTTGGCATGCACGTCATGAGTCGATCCGGGGCGTCCACCCAGCCTTATATACCGCTGAACAGCACGCCGAGATCGTCAAAAGGCTGGAAGAGAAGAGCAGGGAGAAGGAGGAGAAAAAGAAGAAGGCGGAGGAGCTAATGAAGAGGATGGAAGAAGAAAAGAGAAAGAAAGAGGAGGAGATGAAACGATTGGAGAGGAGCTGAGGAAGAAGATGGAAGAGGAAGTAAAGGCTATAGACGAAGAAGAAGAAGAAGAAGAAGAAGAGGAAGAAGACAAAAACTTGGGGAGAAGAAGAGGAGTAAGGCCTGATGGAGCAGAGAGTAGCCAGGCCGGGCAGTTGAGGATCATTCAGCCAGATGATGAGGACTGGGTGGCGAAATTCGGATTCCATACCGAAATGCCGTACGAGTCAGAGAAGGAGTGGGAGGAGTTTGCAGCAAGACTGGAGACTGCCGCTGATGGTGAAGAAAAGGACCCACGCTCGCACCCTCACAATATTCAAGAGGGCCTGGTGGGCTGAGGGAACCAGTAGCCTGGAGCCTGGCGGGCAAGTTCAGGGTCTGCAGCCCGTTGAGCTGTGTGAGCGGGCCCTCAACTGGGTGGCTAGGCCCTCCCTGGCTGCCGTGTCACTCATGGCCTCTCGGCCAATGAGTGCGCAGCAATCAGCAAGGCCCACATCGCACGTGAGCGATGGCAACTGAGAGGCCCTCGCCGCAGATCCTGGGTCTGGACGCGTAGCTACTGGGTACCGGCCACGTCCAGCCAGGAGCCGCCCACGCAGCATTTTCCATAAAGGAAAGTGCTTGCGGCCAAGCAGAGCATTCCGGCTGGCAGAAGCTGCGTGAGCCCTGCCACTACCAGAGGTCGATCAGGGCGGGTGCTGGTCAGATAAGGACTGAGCGCACGGGCGCTGGAAGGAGGAGCTTTTCAGGCAGCGCAGCACGTACACGGCCCAGCAGCACCACGGCCATAGCCGGGCCGTACATGCATGGTGGCTGGAAAGGTGATGGTGGTCTTCTGCGAGGGACAGCCGGCCTGTGGGAGATGGAGGGGATGAGAGAGAGAGAGCGAGGAGAGTCACGTACCTGGCCTGGTGTGTGTGGAGGTCTGCATGGGCGTCATCTTCATGTACGTCGAGCCGCTGTCGAATTGTTTACTAGTTGCATCATCAGAGTCGGTAGGCTAGTATAGGTGCCGTATGATCGTAGTTTGGGCGCTGGGCGTCACATAAGAAACGCGACTGTCACATTGGATGCATTGTTGATGCCGGCAAGTTCGGGGCTGACATTGACATTTGAGTTCATTGCTTTGCTCTTACTCTGGCGTGTATCTTGGAGCATACTGCTTTCTGTCTGGCACGCGCCTATCTGGTTTTCAATGTGATGTTGCCATTCGGTTTCTGCGATTCGCTCTCGCTCATATTCCTTGCACCTAAGTGGTCCTCAGAATATGAAAATCAAAGGACAAAAAAACAGTCCAAAAAAAGACCAAGGAGGACAAAATATCATAACTGCAAAATTTGAACCAGCACGTGCACCTGAACCAAAGTTACAGTTACAGTTCGAACCAGGAACACAGCAGCAGCAGAGCCACCGACTGAACCAGGACGTGCACATGAACCAGGTGCAGCACCTGAACCCGACCCTTGCACCAGAAACAGATACGAATCCCAAGTCACAATCTGGACCAGGGACAGCAGCAGAACCCGGAATTGAAAAAGGATGCGCGACTGAACCAAGCACAGCACCTGAACCGAACCAGTGCCCGAACCGGACATACGTCCCTAGTCACAGTCCGGACCACGAGCAACAGCAGCAGAGCCAAGAACTGAACCAGGAGGCAGGCTTGGACCAAGTGCAGCACCTGAACCCGAACCAGAGATCAAGTCCCTTACGATCATGTTTGTTGATATTGGGCCCCCTTTACAACCTGAACCTGGACCAGACGTTCGACCGAAACCAGAAACCGGATCCAATTCATGACTTACAGCTTGATCCATCTGCTGCTACTGCTGCCACTGCACATAATAATCATGATGATGATGATGATGATGATGAGGATGATGATGAGGATGATGATGAGGATGACGAGGATGACGAGGATGATGATGATGACGACGATGATTATGATAATTGTGATGATTATGATGATGATAATTATTAATTACAGTAATTCTGATGATGATTATGATGAGGATGAACGTCGGCAGGGACGAGCCTTGAAGCCTTCACGTCCACGTGCCAACATAAGTTGGACCAAGGATAATGTGGCACGTGGCATGATGCGCAGCCTTCTGGTCATCGTCATCATATTGTTTTATTTTTTCGTCATCATGATGATAGCCGTTCTAGATAAGAGTCGTTGATTGTGGAGGGAAGAAGAAGGAAGGAAGGAGCATGAAGAGATGGGAAAGGGGAGGGAGAGGGAAAAGGAGTAGGAGGAGGAGGAGGAGGAGGAGGAGGAGGTGCAAGCGAGGAGATTGAGACGGCCTGTCGTGACAGACCAGTGTCGGTTCATCAACATGGCTGCCACGTGGAGTCCCTCCACGCGGCAGGATTGTGCCAACAGCTCAAACTTATCCAGACTCTGATAATAATCATTACTAAGCTTATCCAAGTGGTGATTGGTCCACGGGATCTGTGCCATGTCCTGTCTGCCGGGCTCTCTATCTGTTTCCCCTCAACACATGTGATTACGATGCAACTGCAAGTGGTCTACGTCTTGGGCTGTCTGGATCTGCATCAGTTTCCACTCCTCGTTCGTCTGATCAGCCTATGTTTCGCCTCCCGCAGCCGCAGAAGTCGGCGTTCAAAATCCATGCCCCCCAGGATGATTGCTGTGACCATCGGTTCCGGTTCGTTTCTAACAGCCCTCGAACCCGCGACTTCCCCCCCCCTGGCCCCCCATTAACATCCGCTGGGTGTGCTAGAGGTGCTGATAAGAGCAGGCGCCTCTAGCAGTCCGGGCATGGCTCCTGTCTATTGTTATGAGCACAGCATCTGCTGGAAAATGGGTCCAGCGTCCCTGATAAAAAAATACATTGTCCCAAACATTGAGCAACTGCAGAAGATGAGCAAGTCCTGCTTCTTCAGCCAGTGTAGGCCGCCTGATCTAAGCTGTAATTCCTAGCAGGTAGACTCTGACTGAGACTTCACTTAGATAACACACCAATTAGGGAGCACTCCGGGGCACGGACCGAGGGGGGCAGGGGGGCATCCCGTCTCCCAGATCCAACCGTCCCACAGCATTGTCAAAGGTGCTTCCTTTCGCTCTTTCCTCGGTGGCGGGGAAACTTCGCCGTCCGTACCATGACATTTCCATGATGGTATTGTCCTGTAGAGGAAAGGGGTAAGGAAAATCCTCTGGTGGTCTTAGGGGATAGACCGGCTCGATGCTGGTCCGATCCTCGAATGCCATGCAACACGCCCTTTGATTTCTCCCGCCCACCCCGTCTCCCCAGTCACCCGACCACTCCCTTAGCCATCCATCCCTCAGCGTCTCCCCCCAACCATTCCGAACAGAAGTTTACTACCTCCCTTCTGATGTCTGCCCCTCTTCGTGCAGTCTGTCCAGATTCTCCTTAACAGTCGTCCATTTGGACAGGATCCCGAACATAACCTGCTGCTTGATCTGCTCTTTCACTTCCTCCCCTTCCATCCGGACATCCTCCCAAGCCAGAATACATCTGCACCACCGTAAAGTCCACAGTACCGCCCTCCCGGCCACCCTGAACACGTTACCTAAGAAAGTGTCCTCTTGACTTTTTGGCCTATAGCCCCCCAGGATGGCTCTCCATTCCCATGGCCAACACCACCCCCGCGCCATCTTTCTCCAAAGCCAGAATACATCTGCGCCACCACAAAGCCCACAGTACCGCCCTCCTGGCCACCCTGAACATGTTACCTACAAAAGTGTCCTCTTGGCTTTTCGGCCTATAGCCCCCAAGGATGGTTCTCCATTCCCATGGCCAACAGCACCCCCCCGCCATCTTTCTCCAAAGCGAGAATACATCTGCACCACCATAAAGCTCACAGTACCGCCCCCCTGGCCACCCTGAACATGTTACCTATGAATGCGTCCTCTTTGGTTTTCCGCCAATAGCCCCCCAGGATGGCTCTCCATTCCCATGGCCAACAGCACCTCCCCGTCATCTTTCTCCAAATCCAGTCCCACGACCTCCACGTGAAGACTGCCATGGGACATTGCAGAAAAAATGCGTTTGATTGTTTCTCCAATTCTCCATGACGGATACATGCACAGACAGCGATCACAACAAGGGGTTACGACGCCTTTTTGTTCCAGCGTCGTATGATCAATCAACTGGTGGTCGGAAAGCACTATGTGCAATTTGCCATTGCGAAGAAGTTACTTTGGCATGGCCTATTTTTGGTTCACTGGGAGATTCTTCTTGTTATCTTGGAACCACCTGATTGGTTTGAGGGAGGCGAAGTCCAGGTTTGGATGCCTCGCCCACCGTTCTGTCGCCACCTCCCTCAAGTTTCTTTTGACTCTAAGCATTCTGTAGGATAATTTGACGTTCAGAGGCAGCAGCGACCGCCCTCTTCCGGTGCCCCTGTGCTTTCCATGTGGTTGGGCAGGTGAGGCCCACTGCCATGTTGCAGGGTCGAGGGGGAGGTCTGCTATCGATCAGTACGGTTGGAACGCCCGCCGCTCCTCCACTTGCCCCAGCACCCTGAACCTGTGGGTCGCCTTCTTAAGAGTCCATTCCAAAGGGCCAGGCCTATAATGGAGGCACCCCCCCCCCTCTCCTAGTTTATAAACTTCTATGAGGGCGCCCTCTTTTCTTGTCGCACCAACCGACCCTCCCTACCTCACCCCTTAGGTGGCAGTGACCGCCCTCTGCCCGTGCCCCTGTGCTTTCCCGGTGGTGGGCCAGGTGAGGCCCACTGCCACGTTGCAGGGTCGAGGGGGAGGTCTGTGATCGATCAGTATGGTTGGAACGCCCGCAGCTCCTCCACTTGCCCCAGCCCCCTGAACCTGTGGGTCACCTTCTTAAGAGTCCATTCCAAAGGGCCAGGTCTACAATGGAGGCGCCCCCCCCCTCCTAGTGTATAAACTTCTATGAGGGCGCCCTCTTTTCTTGTCACACCACCCCACCCTTCCTACCTCGCCCCTTATCTTAATCCAGTCCCCTTCGTTAACCGCCGGGCCCTTTTTCAGCACACTATACCAACTGAGCGGGGTTGCGTCAATAATCTCCTCCAGCCCCCTCTCTGCATGGTGGCAATATGCCAGGGTACTGCGAAGCTGGCCAGCAGTTTTCCAATCCCTCCTGTCCGTGTCCCATAAGTCCGCTATCCTCACGACCCCCCGCTTTACCCAGGCTTTCCAGGGGGAGGCTGAGCTGCACATTACCTGCCCCTGACTATTTGTAATCCACCTGTTGCCGAATAGGGGCTGCCTCATAATCTCCTCCCACCTCTCCAACGGGACTTTTTCCGGTGAGGGCAACCTCCTCCGACCTTCGCCAGCGGCGGATGCTAGTAATAGATCACTTCCAGATTCTCCTCCAGGGGCAAATGAGTCCAAAGCTTCGTCCAATTGAGGGACATTTTGGTCGTTTTCTTCACTCACCCTCACCAAATCCATCTTATCCATCATCTGATAATCAGTTTTTCTCGTCATCCAAACTGATCTTGTTGCTTTCTCTCCTTCCACGGAGGAAGAGATTGAGATGTCCCGATCCCGGAACTGTGCCGCAATCGTCCTGTCATGGCCAGGAGGAGGAGGAGGAAGAGGAGGACGAGAGAGAGGAGTAGGATTACAGGAAGGAGTACGAGGAGTAGGATTACAGGAAGGAGTACGAGGAGTAGGAGGAGGAGGAGGAGGAGGATGAATGCTTGCTTCCGTCTTTGACGTAGTATCTAATTTTTCTTTTTTATTAGGAGAATTGGTGTGAATCAAAGCTTGGCGCTTTCCACGCCCTGATGCTGCTCCTTCTCCAGAGCGCGCCACGTTATCCAAGGAATTGCCACCAGCAACTCTGGCCGCCATAGTCGCAGCTTTGTGGAAGTCGAGTTCTTCTTGATACTGGCTAAGGTCAAAATTGGTCACGGAGTCCTTCCCGTTTGATCTCACCACAGCTCTGTCGTAGGCTCTGGCCGCATCCTCTTCCTCAGTGAAGAGCCCAAGGTAGATTAATTTTTTCCGCCTCATCCTCGCCTCCCAGCGGCCGCCTGTATGAAGCGTGACTCCTCTGTACCGAGATCTGCCACGTGAGAAACATCTCCTTTGTCTTCGCAAGCTATCAATGTACTCTTCCTTGGTCAGATGCGCAACCTTTTGTAGATCAGCATCATAGTCCGAGGCCGTGAAATTGAGCTCCGCTGCGGGGCCTCGAAATTTCAGCACCGCCCTGTCGTAAGCTCTGGCAGCTGCATCGGCTGTGGTGAATCCACCTAGATACACTTGCTTTCCACCATCCGAAATACACGACGTCCATCCACCAGTTCGCCTGCAGATTGCCACTCCTCTGTAGTTCGAGCTCCTTGACTTGGGACCATACCGTGTACCATCTGATTTAACAGCTGAGACCGCGGGCTCAGATGCGGGATCACCTCCTTCCGTCTTGATTGTTTCTTCCGGCTGCTGCTGCTGGTTGCTCTGAGGCAGCCGAGTGCTGGGTACTCTCCGAGTTACACGAGTTCCAACCGCTGGTTCAGTTCTGGCAACGATTCCGGTTCCAATGCTCATTCCAGGTCCATTGTCAGTTCCTGGCCCAGCCTCAGTTGCAGCGCTGACTGCACCTATGGTTCCGTCGCCGGTTGCAAAACTTGTTCCATGTCCAATTTCTTCAGTCGTCCTCACGGAATCGATCTTATCCACCATCGGACGATCGGTTTCAGTTTTTGTCCAAACTGATCTTGTCGGTTTCCTCCTCTCTATTGTCAGAGTCCGACAATGTTCTCCTCCCACGGAGGAAGAGATTGAGATGTCCCGATCCTGTGCCGCGACCATAACTGACCCCGACAGCCTTCTGTCATGGCCAGGAGGAGGAGGATGACAGAGAGGAGGAGTACGAGTAGGAGGAGGAGGAGGGATGCTTGCTTCCGTCTTTGAGGCAGTATCACTTTTTATTTTTTTGTTAGGAGAATTGTTGTGGATCAAAGCTCCCCGCTTTCCACTTCCTGATGCCGCTCCTGCTCCAGAGCGCGCCCCGTTATCCGAGGACTTGCCACCAGCATCTCTGGCCGCCATTGCCGCAGCTTTGTGGAAGTCGACGTCTCCTTGATACTGGGTAAAGTCAAAATTGGTCATGGCGGCCTTCCCGCTCGATCTCACCAGAGCTCTGTCGTAGGCTCTGGCCGCATCCTCTTCGTCCTCAAAGAGCCCACCGTATATGTACTTTTTTATGAGGACTCGTCTCATCCTCGCCTCCCCGTGGCTGCACTTATGAAGCTTGACTCCTCTATACTGAGACCTGCCGCATGAGAAACATCTCCTTTGTCTTCGCAAGCTACGAACGAACTCTTCCTTGGTCAGATGTGCAACCTTTTGCATATCAGCATCATAGTCTGAAGCTGTGAAATTGACCTTCGCTGTAGGGCCTCGAAATTTCAGCACCGCCCTGTCGTAAACTCTGGCAGCTGCATCGGCTGTGGTGAATCCACCTAGATACACTTGCTTTGCATCAACCCAAATATACGACTCCCACCTACCCTTTCGCTTGCAGAATGTCACTCCTTTGTAGTCCGAGCTCCTTGCCCTGGGACCATAGCATGTACCAGCTGGTTTCACAACTGGGACCTCCGATGCGGGACCACCTCCTCCCGTCTTGATTGTTTCGTCCGGCTGCTGCTGCTGCTGCTGGTTGCTCCGAAGCAGCCGAGTGCTGGGTACTCTCCGAGTTAGACGAGTCGCGACTGCTGGTTCGGTTCTGGCTTGGGTTCCGGTTCCGATCCCCGTTCCAGGTCCATTTTCAGTTCCTGGTCCAACCTCAGATGCAGCACCGGTTCCAGAACTTGTTCCACGCGCACTTCTTCTTGGGCCAGCCCCGCTTCCCGTCCCGATCCCAGCCCTTGTTCCAGCTCCAATTGCAGTTCCGGTTCGAGCTCCTGCTGCAGTCGCTGTTCCATCTCTGGTTCCAGCTCCGGCCTCAGGTCCGGTTCCAGCTCCGGTTCCAGCTCCGGTTCGAGCTCTGGTCTCAGGTCCGGTTCTAACTCTTCCAGTTCCAGTCCCAGCTCCAGTTCCAGTTCCAGTTCTAGCTCTTCCAGTCCCAGCTCCAGTCCCAGCTCCAGCTCCAGTTCCAGTTCTAGCTCTTCCAGTCCCAGCTCCAGTCCCAGCTCCAGTCCCAGCTCCAGTCCCAGCTCCAGTCCCAGCTCCAGTCACAGCTCCAGTCCCAGTTCCAGTTCCGGTTTTAACTCTTCCAGTCCCAGTTCCAGTCCCAGTTCCAGTCCCAGCTCCGGTCTCAGGTCCGATTCTAGCTCTGGTTCCAGCTCCAGTTTCAGTTCCAGCTCTCATTACACGAGCTCCAGCTCCAGTTGCGGTTCCGGCTCTACCTCGGGTTCCAGCTCCGGTTCCAGCTCCGGTTCCAGCTCCGGTTCCAGCTTTGTGTACCACCTTTTCTTCTTTCTGCCCATTCACAGAAATCAGTCGTGGCTCTAGTTCCAGTTCCAGTTCCAGCTCCGGTTCCAGCTTTGGGAACGCCCTTTGCTCATAGAGTACTGGCAGCTGCTTAAGTGGTCTCGGATTCATTGCACCTGGTCCGCTTTCCGTCATCTCCCTCCCAACAGGCAATATGACACCACATAGACGTTTATGAACAGCACTATGTACAGTCTGCACAGCTGTCCTTTCCGCTCCCTCCTCCTTCTCCTGCTTGTCCTTTTCATCCTCCGCTTCCTTCTCCCCTTCTTTGCCTTCCTCTCCTCGAGTATGGACGGCTAGCTGCAAAGCTTCCGTCTTTGGTACAATTGTCTGCCCGTTGTGCACACGACGCAACGGGTTCTCCTTCTCCTTCTGCTCCTCCCCATCCTCCTCCTCCTTGTCCATGTCCCTCTCATCCTCCTCCTCCTGCATCCGAGTCGGTTCCTTCTCCTTCTCCTTCTGCTTCTGTTGTTCCATGCATTGTGCACGAAGAGCTTGTAGTAAATCCGACCTCAAGATGGTAGGTGCTCTTGGATCGCCACAGCCATAGCTATGGCAATAGCTATGGTGATGGCTATGGTGATGGCTATGGTGATATACTAGCAGAGGATCCTTTTCCTTCTTCACTTCCATCTCGTTCCTGTTGTCATTGTCAAATGATTGAAAGAGTCCGTGAGAAGAAGAAGGCATGGACATAGCTATCTGGCTATGGCGGCCACGCTGACGGTGTACCAGCAACTGCTGGTGCTTTGGCCCCTCAGTCTTCTCCTGCCCGTTGCTGCTCTGGTCGGTGATCATAATGGGCTGCAGGTCGCCCAACACAGGGACAGTTGCTTGGCTATGGCTGCCGTCCTGGGCCAGGAGATGTCCACTCCTCCGCTCTCTCTTCTGCTCCGCCTCCTCCTCCTCCTCCTCCTCCCTGTCCTGCTCCTCTTGCCCATTCCCTTGCTCGCTCCTCTCTTCCTCCTCCTCCTCACGTTTGACTTTCACAACATGTAAATCTCCAGATGAGAGCGGAGTTGTACGGGCCAGATGGCGGCCCTGCTGCTGCAGCTGGTTCAGCACCTGGTCCAACTGTCGGACCAAGTACTGGTCCTCCTCCCTCTTCAGAAGCGAGGCGATGGCACTCCTATTTCCTGCTGGGCAGCTCACGAGTGATGGAGATCGTGTTTCAGCACCTGGTCCACCATTCTGACCAGGTGCTGATCCTGCCCAGCGAAGATCGACTACCGGTCGGGCCGAAGCTGAGGGCCTGTTACTCGATAGTAATGAGGCATGGAGAGACTGGGAGAGAGAGTAGGAGGAGGAGGAGGAGGAGGGGGGAAAGGCGGAAGAGGTCGTTGGTCCTGCAGAGGCTGGCAACACTAATGATAACGATGATTCATTGCCGCCATTGAACAGCCCTGAAGCATGGAAAGGTAGGGAGAAAGAAGAGGAGGTGGAGGAGGGGGAGGAGGAGGAGGAGGAGGAGGTAGAAAAACACACAAGACCCTCGCTATTTATCTCTCGCTTCATGATATCGCGGGCAATTGAACCGTCGTCGGCTTTAGTTCTACCATTCGTGCCCATACTGCTAGTACTGCTGCTGCTGCGTCGGTTACTACGCTTAGTGCTGCTGCTGATATGTTCACTGCTAACCCGATCGGCACTACAGGCTTGCATTCTGATGACGACACGTGGCGGCAGCCTCTGTGTCTGGTCACATGCGGTGTGTCGAAGATCAATGAGGGGGTAATCAAGGGGGTAAGGAGACCCCAAAAGAGGTTCTGCTACAGATCCCAACCCCTCTCCTTCTTGATTAGGTCCCCCTGTTTCCTGATTGGACTTGTAAGTGTTGAAGCAGGGGTCTCGTGCTGTACTAAGTGGAAAGCCGTCAGAAGTTTCATCTTTACGATTGGCATGCAGTGATTGCCTCATTGCACCCTCTTTGATATCCTGTAAGGACTGGGAGAGAAGGGGAACAGAGAGCGGGAGTGAGGAGGCGTTGGCACGATGAGCATGCTGGTGGTGGTGCGACTCCAGCCGCCGGCAGCCCGCCAGACGAAGGCCGGCGGTTCCCACCGAATCATCGGCCAAGGCGGCCCGCGATAAGCTGCTTCGCTGACCCGCGGGCACGTGGCAGGCGCAATCTCCGCCGCCTCCGCCTGTCGTTAAGCAGCCGTCAGGATCGCCGCACACTGCTAAGCAGTGGACGCTGCAGGAATCGTTGCCCCCGCCGCCGCCGCCGCCGCCGCCGGTCGTCAGGTCACCGGGATCCCCATAGGGTGCGAGGTGGAACAGGAATTGCGGCGGCGGCGGCGGCGCGCGCGATGGCGTTCGATCCAATGTGGCCGTTGCTGCGGCTTCCACGTCAGCAGCGGAGTCCTCGACTACCACCGTCATCCTCTCCCCCGTCATCGCGACAGCCTCCGCCATAGCCGCGGGGGGTGTGGGAGGGGGGGCCATCTGCGAAGCCGCCAGGGGCAGTGTAGCCGGAGCAGCCATAGCCATGGAGGAGGAGGCGAGAGGGATGTCCACCTCCTTGTTGACGGCCCATTCCCGTTGACAGATGCGGGACTCAAGGCCGTGACTACCGTCTTTCCCCAAATACAATGCACCCTCATCATGACCGTATCTAGCCGGAGAGATAGCTTGTATACATTCATGATGCGGGTGCGCTGTGTTCCGGGCACAACGGGGATCAGCATGATTATTAATCAGAGGGAGGCGAAAGCCATCTGCTGCCACCATTTTAGCCGGGCATTCGGCGGGGCGGGAAGGACTACAGTAACTCTCAGTCTCCTCCTCTCTAGCCGTCACCATCATCCCGATCTCCGACCTGCCGAGCTTGTCGCAACCGATTGCGCTGACCGGCTGAGCAGTTGACACGTGGACGTCATCGCCATCGGCAGAAGCGTCGCGCAGCTGGCGCCTCGGGACGAACAATGATGACCCTGCTGACGTGGCAGAAGATGAGAAGTGCACAGGGGTCATCCGTGTGCACACCATCGCTGTACATCGTTGATTGCCAAAACGGCCAGATTCTGTGAACCCGATGCCGCGCGAGCCATCGGTTGGAGTAGCCGGAAAGCTGTGCGACATCACCGCCTTCCTCACGTCGCCCACTGCGTCAGACACACCCCGAGTTCCAACCCGCGTTAGCGTTGCTGATTCCAGAGTCGGTAACTGGGTTAATAATGGGACTACTACCTACCGGTAGTTCAGTTGGTGATAGGAGTCGCAGCAGCGGTCGCCGAGGAGGGAGGGACCAGGTAGGTTAATAGTGCCCAACGGGGTTGTCAAGGGATGAGCGACCGAGGTAATTAATGAGCGGACGACCGAGGTTAACTGGGTTAAAAGCCGGCTTTAATGGGTTCACAAGACGGACCGGCGTGGCTCCGCCCGCATCACGAAAAGGGAGATTGGAAAGGCACAAATCGTTGATTGATGGAGAGACACAGAGAGAGAGAGAGAGAGAGAGAGAGAGAGAGAGAGAGAGAGAGAGAGAGAGAGAGAGAGAGAGAGTTTTGTTGCATTTGTTGATATGATTTGAGGGAGAGAGACAGAGAGAGAGAGCGACAGAAAGAGAGAGAGAGAGAGAGGAGAGGGGGTGGGGGCTACCGGAGAGAGAGAGAGAGAGAGAGAGAGAGAGAGAGAGAGAGAGAGAGAGAGAGAGAGAATGGTAAAATTGATGTATGGGTCAAATTGCGGCCGCGATCTATTTCACGGTTGGAATGATTTTTAAANTGTATTGAAAGCGGTGTGAAGAAGTCGAGGTTCAAGAGAATGAGCAGTGTTTTTGTGAGAAGCATAGTCGTCGTAAGGACCGGTAGAGAACAAGATGGGTATGAAAGGGGGATGTTGTATAGCTACTGCCTGACCTTGCTGCTGAGGTGGAATGCCGATAATGATAGTGATACCAAAGGAATACAGGCGGGTAAGAAGAAAGAGCAATGGCCGTTTGTTTGGAACACGAACATAACATAGCTGAATAAAGTACAAGGATCCCCTAATAATGAGAAAGAAGAAAGGTGTTTCAGGTCTTCGAAACAAAGAAATAAGTTACCCCCTCCTAAGCCCTAATATGTTAATAACGACATACTGCAAACACCGTCATTCCTTAAAGACATATACTGTAAGTCAAAACCCCGGCCGCCATAAACAGTACGGACCTCGGCGACAAAGACTTAACCCCCTCCGACCCTCCGACCCAAAGACATATACTGTAAGTCAAAACCCCGGCCGCCATAAACAGTACGGACCTCGGCGACAAAGACTTAACCCCCTCCGACCCTCCGACCCCCTAGGAAAGTGAAGAATATATATACATATATATATCGTCATACATCATTTACACACTTACACATCCTCTTCCATTCGATCGAAGGATCCATGAACAACGTTGATTTCTACAGTCTTCCCCCGAACACAATGCACCCTCATTTTGGTCGAACCTGACCGGAAATATAGGTTGCGTCATTATCGTGGTGCGTTACGTGCGGGGGAAGAGGGTAGTCACCAAGAAAAACCAAGGACAACCAACGGCCGTCGAGTTGGTTGCTTTTGATTTGGCCATTTCTTTCACTGGGTATAGGGCCTCGCAACAAGCCAGGAAAAACGAAACGGAACGGAACGGAACGGAAGGAAACGAAACAAAACGAATTTTTTTCTCGCGAGGGTGCGCGAGGGCGGAAGTTCGTTTTCTTTCTGCTTCGTTTTCTGCTGCATCGCCATACGCAGCACCACGAAACGAGAACCAGTGAGTACAGCTAATCTACAAGGAGGAGAATTGCTTTCAGTGTTCCGGAAAAAAAAAAAAAAAAAAAAAAAACAGTGAATACAAAAAAAGAAAACAAAAAAAACTGTATACCGCCCTGCGCAGCCAAACGGGAGCGAGGAGCAGGACAGGCGAGGTGGCCCTTTTCTCACTCCTCCCGCCTCCACCACCATAGATCGACCGCCACACCACTCTGGAAATGTGAAAGAAAGACAAAAAATGTGGCGGGTGCATCTGGCCATGTTCTAGCGAGAAGTTCATTCCCATTTTGCAAATTTCGAGAATGGTGAGGCTATGGGCCTCGCCACACCACTCTCGAATCTCGAAAATTTTCGAGAGCTGTCAGGAATTTTCGAGAGGCCGGTTTTCGAGAGAAAATGGCCCTTCGCCACATAGCACACTAGACCGGCCTCTCGAAATGGTCGAACTGGAGTGCGGACAGGCGAGAAAACGGCCTGACAACTCTCGAAATGGAAGTCGAAGTCGAGCGCGGAGCGGCGGTATTACGAAAACTCCAACGCTGCAGGCTGGGCGAAAACATCGTTTCGAGAGGGCACTCGAAAACGCCTTCCTGACAGCTCTCAAACAGTTTCGAGTTTTTTTTTCGAGCGATGCTGTGTGGCGGTGCCCGACTCACGAATTTTCGAGATTGGAGAGTGGTGTGGCGAGGCCGTATGCCCTGAACCTTACCTTTGGGCCTCGCTGCACTAAGCACATGCACAAAAGACAAACTATGGTGGTGTATACTTCCATGTTCTAGTGGGAAGATTCATTCATTCACATCACATTTTGCACAGTGGTGGAGCAAGGGCGTTTGGCCATCCCTTCCTTCACTTATCACTTACTTACTACAGTCTTCCCCCGAATACAACGCACGGTCATTATGGCTGAATTTAGACCGAAAGATAGGCCAAATTCAGCTATAATGACCGTGCGTTGTATTCGGGGGAAGACTGTAGACCCCGCCTGCCCCAAAACACCCCCCCCCCCCCCCCCCCTTCAAAAACGAAGGCCGAAAAGAAAAAGAAAAAACGTCCATTCCGAAAAAGGAAAGGCCAGGCGACGCCCGCCACCGCCAAACAAAGACCTATGCAACCTGCCCTTGGTCGCCCGCACTCCAACCTCTGAGCCGACCGTTTCGGCTACCGGTCTGTGCCCTGCCCCCGACCGTGCACCTTGTAGACTCCCCATAAACCCCGTTAGGACTTGTCGACACTTCCATAAAAAGGACGGCCCGCTACACGACGAAGTGCAACGGGGTAAGACGCAGCCTTTGGCTGCGAACAAGGACTCCTGATCGCTTGCAGAAGTCAGAAAAGATAATCTACTACCTTGTTGGACACATCCCCGCACGTCCGTGAGAGTTGGGGGGTGGTTGGTGGGTCCTTGCAAGGCCCCACGAAAATCGAGTCGAGGTGCTGCAGGCGGGGGCGGCAGCAACCTCCTCGCGAAGGGCTCAGTTTCCTTTTTTTTTTGTCTGATGACGACCTGACCCCTCGCGAGCCCTTTTTTTTTTTTCGATGGTGATTTGTGTGGGGCTGTGTGGGGCGATGTGAACACTGAACGAACTCGTGAAATTCTTCGTTTCGTTCGTGTGCCGTGCGGCGAGGCACATAGGGACTACCGTCTTCCCCCGAACATAACGCACCCTAAAAATGAATGTACACGAGTTATATTTCCGGCCAGATACAGCCAAAGTGAGGGTGCGTTGTGTTCGGGGGAAGACGGTAGCGGCACTGCTCACCAAAAGCACAGAAGAGAAAAATTACGGCAATGCATCTTTCCAGGTTCTAGGGAAAGATTCGTTCTCATTTTGTACATTTGGCAAGTGGCGTGCGCGGCGAGGAGGCCTATGCTCACTCACACTGAGACTCTTTTCAACTTGCCTGTGGACTTAATTGCGATTAGGTGCATCCAGGTTGGACTGTACAAGAGGTCCGATGCGTCGAAGTAGTCAGTGGGGCAGCGAGGCCCATGCTCACACTGAGGCTTGTTCAACTTACATGTGGACGTAATTGCGGTTAGGTGCATCCACGTTGGACTGTAAAAAAGAGGTCAGATGCATTTAGGAAAGTCTTCATGTGAGTGTGCCGCCGTGAGTCTTGCACGCTCAAGCCCCAGTGCGCACCTGCTCTTTCCTTTCTTTTTTCCCCCCTTTTCTGCAGCGCCGCGACCTTGAGATAGCATCATCATCATTGAACTGAGATACCAACTAGCACAGCATCGCTGACAAGGAATTAGAATTCGAGGCAAATTAGTGAAATGGACTACTGAAGGTTTTATGGATCCCCATTTCTTCAGCCTAGCTTTTTTAAGATCATACCGTACTACCATCGAAGCCTTTTTGGACCCTGAGACAGGCAGCTTAGCCACTACCACAGCGCATTGCGTGAAGATTGTCAGATCCTTTTACAAAGACCTCTTCTCTTCTCACATTCCCCAATAGCAGGAGATAGACCGTTTAAGAAACCTAGAGGAATTCCTACGTCCAATGGAGGGCCACCTCTCTTCGACACAGAAAGACCATATGGACCGGCAGATCTCCAATGAGAAAATTTGGACGACACTAATGCAAATGGAGGAAGAGAAGACCCCAGGTCTAGACAGCTTTCCCAAGGAATTTTGGGAGACCATGTGGCCCCTTCCGAGCGAAGACCTAATGTGGTTCTATAAGGCAGTCTGGGACTCCGGGGAGCTAGGGGAACTGGTAGGGCAAGGGGTGTTTTCGCTGCTTCACAAAAAAGGAGACAAAATGAATATCAGAAACTACCGCCCCATTACACTCTTGACGACAGTTTATAAGATGCTGTCAAAAACTCTTGCTAATCGAATGATCGAAGTAATGGAGGACCTCATCCACCCAGCCCAGACAGGCTTCATGCGCAACAGGAACATTCAAGAAAACATACTTCTAGTCAATGAGATGATTAGCCTGACTCATCTTTATCTTCATTAACTTCGAAAAAGCCTACGACCACGTGGACTGATTTTTCTTAGATAAGTGTCTGGAAACACTGAACTTTGGTAACAACTTTCGACAATGGGTGAGTATCTTGCACCAGAACGCCACCACAAGCGTCCAGATAAACGGGTCCCTGGCCCCAGGGATAAGACTACAACGTTCGGTTAGACAAGGGGACCCTATAGCCCCCTTCTTGTTTATTATTATAATGGAGGCGTTAGTAGCCAACCTCCATCAGAGCAAAGACTTAAAGAGAATTCAGATGTCCGACATCCCAAAAGAAGCAGTCCCGGCCTGTTCGCTTTTCGTAGATAACCTCACAATTATGGCAGATGCTACACAACAGAATATGGAGGTTATATAGGCTAATGGCCCTTTTTTGCACCCTCTCTGACATGGTCGTAAA